TGACCCACCTTTAGAGACAACAGCTGTTTTATTGCTGTTGCAGGACTTTACTCAAGAGCAGCAACAATGGTTTGGGAATCTTGTTTTTATGTAACTATATAACTGATTTTAGCATTGAGTACAGGAGGTGCACAAACAGTATCTCATTAGTGAATCTTTTTTAAGTCCATGACTCATCCGGCCCAATTTAAATGTGGATCCCTGGTAATGATTCACATCTAATCAAACAGTTTGTGAAGTCAACAGATTTCTCTCGAGCTTTGACGTTTACGCTTGCAACAACAAATCTTTCACAGCTGATCCATTGATGTGATTCTGCAAAAAGATATTACTTAATCTATAGCTTTTAAAAGAAAACACAAATACTACCTCCTACTGATATCAACAGACACAAAAAGGACTGTTTTAGTCAGTTTGAGCAAAATTACAATTTTTCTCATATTTGTGTGGAGCTGGGATTTTTGGTATATTTCAGATGTACAGCTTAAAAAATGTAATTCATATTTTTGACACTGGTTTCAGTAATAAAGTATCTATGTAAAGCCAATGCTTAAATGAGTACTGTTAAATTTACTCTTATACTCACAAAAATTAGTGACTCAGTTGAAGGTGGAGTAGTTATGGATTTACGCCACATGTAGCATCTTTCAAACAGATTTAACTCTACAGCTCTTCTAGAGTTACTGTGAACATCTCAGTCCTTTTTGCACAGACCTGTGGGAATAAGCAGGGGCGGAGCTAGATGGGGGGCCAGGGGTGGCCATGGCATCCCTTATCCAATCATTGGCCACCCCTACTACTTTTTCCCTTTAATACAGACAGTGGCAACAGAAATACTCTCAAGTGAAATATTTAAAACATTTACATTTTTCATATATTAACATTTAATTGACAACAAGAACACTGTGATTAATTATGCACATCAATATACTGAAATAATTAAAGCTGATAAGTACAGAATTAATGCTATTTTCAGAACTAAATTTTGTGTTTTAAGGGTTAAAGACAAAATTTTGTCATCTAGGAGTCTTCAGTTAAATTATAGAAAACTATTTTAATAAAAACATATAATAATTTATGTGGATATAGGCACTTTTTTACAATTTTATGCAGAATTATAATTAATGATATTAGGTAAGTAATGACAATGGAAAAGATGTTCACTCTAGAACTTAAACCTGAAAGAATTGTACCCAATATAAATGTGTCAATTTGTTAGCAAAGGCTGTAAGAAAGGATAGTTTGTCTTTATTTAGAAAATATGAATGTTGTGCTCGTTAATTTTCCTGTTGGAACAGTAGAGTGAGACCCTGAGGTTCTGGCGCTTTCGGCCACCCCTCAGTGTACATTGGTTATTGTCCGGCCACCCTTATAAAAATGTTCTGGCTACGCCTCTGGGAATAAAGGAGCAAGTGCTGAAGATAAACTTTAAAGTTTCTGGTAAAAAGAAGAAACAAAAAAAGTATGGTAAGAAATGGACACTGAGGATTCCTTCCTATCATAATCCTCATGGCCATGCAGGGGACCAAGACACCTCGCCTGGTCAGCCAGGCCAAAAATTGCCCCTAATGACTCCCCCCATCAGAGGCTTAGACCAGTATCAGGTATTGCAGGCTAAGACATCAACGACTCCCCATTCGTAAGGGGTGGACCCATTCCTCTGGATCAATTTGCATGTTTTCTAAGACAAAACAAAGCTTTGTTGGGAAACTCTATAAAGCATCGAACTCAACGCTATTTCTGACATTTTGAACTGAAAAAGCTTCCTGGATGGGAAGCAAAACGTCTTCAAACTTGGAAAAAAAGTCCAGTGGATTGTTTTTTTTTTTAAATATACATTTTTTGAAAACACTGGGGCAGAATACCACCATGATTTCAATATCAGCAAGGGTTTACAATGGGTGTAATTTTCTTGTCAATTTAGATTAGGCAAAAAGATTCACCTTTACAAAGTAGAACCTCTAATATGATACTTCTAGGTTTGCAAATCAGTTCTAATTCCTTTATGTCAGGCCTCACATTCTAGTGTCCTGCAAACTTTCTGTCTCCATTGTTTCGGGCCATAAACCATTATATTAATATTGGACTAGGGCTGCAACTAATGAAGATTTTATTTAGAAATTAAACCAGGTGAAACTAATACATTTCCACTTAAGGAGCATATTAACAGGCAAAAAAGTTTAACTTAAATGCAAAATGTTTACATCTCTTTACAATTTTGAAATAATTACTGCTCTAAGCAGTCGCTCTGTCAGCTAAAGGCATGTTTTACATTCTCTATACTCCATTTAACAATTAATTACTAAATTAGTTGACGACTATTTTAATAATCAATTAAATCAGCCCTATATTGAATATTGGGAACCAATGTTCATACTGATATTTACCATGGACATTTGGAAGGTATATTAGATTAAATTAGTTCCATTAAATAAAAAAAAAAAAGAAGAAAATTCCAAACTACTCAACATCGGAGAAAGAATCCATACCAATGTCATTTATTGTTCTTAATGGAGACTTTCTTATAAGAATAGAAGTAAAACACTAAAAAAAAAAAGCACAAAAAAACCCCATCAGAGTCAAAACTCTTTAATGAGAGCTTTGGCAAACAAATAAAATGTGTTTTAGGTTCAAACTAAATTATATACATACATCCAAACATTTCATAAAGAATTTGACAGAACCGTTTCCGTATCCTAAACGCAGCATTCGCCATCAAACCCCTTTGCACAGAAAAAACAACCCCCCCAAAACAAAACATCACATGTGGAAAATATAAAAGCATAAAAAGTAAACGACATTTTTCACATATTGGCAAATAAGCCTGAAATGATTTTGTGAAGCTCATAGTTCAGACTGAAGTGTTTGTTAACATTAAACCATTAAAAATAGGGCCAAAAAAAAACAACAAAACAAAATCTGTTGCTGCTTTGAAAACATGTTCACTCAGTACTACAGCAACACATCAAACCACAGGGTTAAAAGATAAAAACATCCCATAAATGTTTAGTCTATTCTTACAGTTAACGCTATGTTCATATAACATATGATTAGTTGTTTTTAAAACATCCAAATGAATCTCAGTGTTTTATTATTTGCTGTACAATCTTGGTCTAGGCACTTTTTGACCCCTCTGTGCTTCCATACTGTTCACTGACCTTTGCCATTTTGTCTATAAATCTGCTTTATTACATCATACGTCCGTAAACATTCAGCACACCATCCCCAAACCCGACTTCAGCTTGTTTGAGCATAAAACAGTAAAAATATGATGAACTCGCTACTTCTGCATGAGAGGATACTGATGGAAATGAGGCCTAATTTAGAAACCAACATTTGTTGCAATTTTCTAAACTTCTGGATGGTGAAGAAATCTTGTGCAATAATAAAAACAAAACAAAAGGACACTTCACAAAATACATCTTCCACTGTCCACCAAAAAATAAATAAGCATTTCAGAATCTGTAGAAACCCAGGAACGGGATCAGCGTTAGGTTTGGGTTTAATTAACCGGTAGGAGGACAGAGAGCGTCTGTCGACTAGAGAGAAAGAGGAAAACACTTCTAGTGTCAAACACCAACCGTTCTGTTTAACAGTTAAATAGGGGAATCTTCCGTGTTGGCTTCACACATTTCTACCGCCTTAGATTTTTCTTTTAAGTAAAACAAAAAAAAGAAATGGTTTAAACTCATTTTTTCAAAATCCAGAATTTGTATTTTTTAGGTTTCCCATACAAACAGATTATAAAACACACAATATGATGAAACTACCCTATGAATCTGGCTACAAACTATATATTCATGACTAATTTGCTGACAAAAAGTAATCATTACTGGATATTTAGGCTTTTTATGGTTGACCAAACAGGTCTAGTTGTTTTTTTTTTTTTTTTTTTAAGTTGAAAATATGAAAATCCCTGTCAAACTTTATGTGCCCTCGCTCTTTACCTGAACACATTCTAATAATGACAAATAAAATTAAATAATTTCATTCTTTTGCATCAAACATCCTTAAGTTGGAACCTTTTCTCTTTTTAAATAAATAAGACAATATTTATGATACAGTTTTTATTTTTTAATGTTGCCGTCACTTGTGATTCTTGAGGCATGAATTTGTTACTGGTATGAATGTATGTTTAAACCGTTGCAATGATTTTAGATACTTAACTAAGATGTCAGGGAATAAAAAAACTAAAATAAACCTGCTGGGGTGAATAGTTTTATGCCGTTTGGAGCATAGAGTGAATCTCCTCTACTTTACCAGTCAGCTGGCTCAAAGAACACAATATTTTTTCATAATACTGCAAGATTTTAAATATTTCCAGCCAAAAAACCAGTGAAAATGCTCAGTTTTACCAGGGTAACTGTGTTTCAAAACTAATGTAGTAGGCTGTTTGTTTTACATATAAAATCATTATAGACTGCCACTCAGAGACATTAAGTTTACAGTCAAAGATAAAGCCGCAGTTAAAATCAGAAAAAGAAAAGTTCTGTGTTAATGTAGGTCGGAGGCTCTTCAGCTGGCTCAGTCCTCCATGTTTCCAACATGTTTCGATAAATCACAGCAGCTTTCAAGCCTTCAGCAGTGTGGGAGGAGACTACTGGCTTTTCTGCAACATTACGTCATCCAGTTTCACCGCTTTGAAACAAGCGCCGCTGTTAGGATGAACTTAATGTGCTTTTATTCTGAAGGGGGGGAGGGGCCTGTATCACACACCCTCTCCCCAACACTGAAAGCGACACCTGTCCTTCAGGCATTAAAAAAGGAGGTCAGCATCAGAATCCTTGGGTTTCCAGGAGTTCATATGAAAAGGAAGAAACTTGTGATGAGGTGAAAAATGACGCATATGATGCACGAAGGAGACGTGAACAGATTCAGCTTCACTTGGTGGCATGCCTGCCCAGGAACACGTCCTCCTCGCTGTGAGTTTTGTAGCTGCCATTGTGCTGGGCGCACGGTGATGACGTCATTTCTTCACTTGAGCCGTCTCTGTCACTCCGATAATCTTCCTTTTCTACCCTTTTGTAGTCCTGCTGAATAAAACAAACAGTTATTGATGCTGCTGTAAATCCAAACTAAGGGCGACAGACATGAATACATCAAAGAAACACTATTTCTTCTACATTTCATCCATTGAGCAAACATTTCAAAGTACTGAAATGGTGGCAGCAAGTTTAGTAAAATTGACTTTTGACTTTTAACACTTTATTTACACAATTCAAACAATAGAATCAATTGTTGATGTAAAACAAGTGTCAGTAAAAAAAAAATCACTATTAATGTAAAAACAGTTTCTAAAAATCATTAAATGAGGAGCTTGTTCAATTGTAGTTGTCCATCTGACACAGTACATAAAATGTTGTTAAAACCCCACAGCTGAATAAAATCCTCCATGTTCTGTGTGGCTGTGAACCTCCAGCCTTATTCTCATTTCGGAGCAACGGCATCAAGGTGAGCCTTTGGCTTATTTTTCCATTTCTGGCAAACTCCTATAAAAAGAGCGTTTGTATAAACCGTCCCAAAAAGAGTAAAAACACAAATTAAAAAGCTAAAAATTGTCTTTAGTCTTGTGCATTCCATAAAAACATGGAACAAATTTTTAGACAGGTTGCAGAAAGGACACTGGTTTAAAATACCCTGATTAATACCGGATAAAAACGAGTTTGTGGAGATGACACCGAGTAAAACAGGGTTTATACAGGGATGAGTAACTCAGTGCTAAATGCTAACTTGTGGTACTGGTGTTAAACATCACATTTTATTTTCCCGGTGGAACCACTAGCACAACTGTTACTATTTATTTTGGATTAAACATATAAAAATAATCTACTTTTAAGCTACACCTATTTTTTTTTTCCAAAATAAACATTGTAAAAAACATGAAAATCGATTTGAAAATCTATGTGAAGGTTTCATGATCAACATCTGTACTTCAGCTTAAGAATAATTGATTCACAAATATTTAACTTAACATTTATTCAGCTGCAGTTATCATTGTGTTTTTTTTTCCCTTAATAATATAAATAAAAGGAAACTGGTCCATTTTAAGGGCTAATAATCCACAGTTGGGCTCCTTCTTCATATAACAGAGCCTTTGGTTAAAACATTTACCCAATAGATCATCAACTGTACGTGAAGCTACCATGATTGCAGCTTTCTATTAGCATCTATTATAAACAGAAATTGCATCAATGGATGTTGGATGAGGGTGTAGGGTAGTTTGTGGAACATGTGAGTATTTTCTGGTGATAGCAGCCATGATGGAGTAAGACACATTTTTCTGCCTGTCTGCCATGTTTGATAAACCTGTTAACTCTTTATAGGGCTCTCAGTGAAATACTTTGAATATCTAAATTTCAAGCCAATAGTGTTATTGGAATCCAGAACAAGACCTTATTACCTTTGTAACATTCCAAAAATAAGGATATCAATATATGTCAATGTAATAAGAAATGCCAACTTGCCCGAATATATTAAGAAAAATAACAAAAAGGCTTCAATAAGAAATTCATGAAAAACAGAGTGAAAGAAACACATCTTTTTGGTCCAACATAACCTTAGAGGCATTAATGCTGATACTGGCACATAAACTTTTTGTTTATAAACCTAAATATAATTGTTAACTGGGCTTATTAACTTTTTAACTTCTCAATTAGCTTCTTGCCATTCTTTCTTAACTTGTTACCTTTCTTTTTTTTTTTACTTAATTTCCAGTAGGTAATATATAATTCAAGGGCTCATCTAATTGGCCAAAATAAGATGAACAGCCATGTAGCAGCATCTTTGCTGAATGGCTGGATATAGATCTTGTCCTTCTAGACCTCATTGAGTGACTGGGGGGGGAGACTCCATTTGTAAGTGATCAAAAACCATAACTTTCCCTATAAAGGGTTAGGGGTGTTTTGTGTTTATAGGAATGTAAAACCAAAAGTATTTGTAAATTGTATTTTTTTTAATACGTCTTACAAACACTAAAACCCCCCTCCTTCGAGGGATTTAGGAAAAAAGCACTGCTGTATGACCTTTTAAAGCCAACAAAGAGAGAGAGAGAGCTTGAGGGTACGTTCAATTAAACAAATGCTAAAAGTTGGACAAAGTGGGCATTCTCCAGCCAAACGAGGAAATATCAAACTGGTTTCAGAACGAATAACAAAGGCTAGAATAAAGCTTCTGAAGGGCCCTTAGGAAACAAGCTGATCTGTGGTTTATCGAGCTGCAGCTGGATGGCGGATCAGAACAAGTTGGATGATTTTAGAGGCTTGAATGGACATATTTCAATGAATTAGGTGACAGGATTCTGGTGGGGTCAGTGATGGAAGTAATATTAGTTTAAAGAGAGGAACCAAAGCTCTGCCACCCTGGATGGACATCAGAATCACGTTGGGATGTTTGGGATAATCTGAATTAAAAAAGGCTTCATGGTTGAAACACCAAAGTTTTGTGTTTACCTCCAAAACAGAACATGCTATTAACTGTGTACTACTTAAAAAAAAAGCTGTGAAGCGTTGCACGTCACAAAACTGTCTTTGCAGCTGCAGAACTCAGCGTCAGAACAGCGCTGTTTGAGGATGTTGCTTCAGCCGTCAAATGGCTCACGTTGTGATGCTTATCTTCAGATTAGATGGAGATAAGATAGGAAAAGGTGTCAGCTTGTTTTTTTTTTCAAAGCTAGCATTTGGGTGAAACTCTGCTATGTAGTGAACTCAAAAGTAGATTAGATTTGCTTTCTTTTTTGAAACAACTTAAAAAGAAGTGGAAACATTGATCATACAGATTAGATTATGGGAAATTGGATGGGTTGTAATCTGCTGCAGTGCATCAATCCAAGCCTGAAATACACTCCCCACGTTTGCTACGGCCAAACTCTGAACCTAATAAAAAACTATTTTTAAGATGAGTTAAACTCATTTACAGATCTGCAGCACCCCTTACACATATCACCACCTTCTGCCAATAGCTTTTTAAATGCTTATAGGCTAAATATAATCAAACAACCTCGTCGTACGGCATTCAGTCACTTCAACCGATATGAGCCTTAACTTTTTCTTTTAGTCACAACATTAAGGTCAGAAAGACATTCAAGTCTTATAATAAGAGTGAAAGATATTTAACATAAGAAATGCATCTAAAACATGGCGTAAAGTCAGTTAAACAAACCGGAGATGCACCAATCAGAGAGCACAACAGCTCCAAGCATTAATCTGCTATAGAGCTTTATGCATTAATGTGGATAATAAAGTAATTCCTTCTTTCTCCCTTAGATTCACTCTACTACACATTTTAAACCGGTCTTAAAATGGGAATTTTATCCCTCTCGTTAGTTAACTTGTTTTCACCTTGGTGGTCTTGGATTTGCTCTTTATCCGATCCTCCTCTTTGTGACTCCTCTTCCTGGATGTGGAGCGCTCCTTCCTGTCTCTGCTGCGCTCCCTCCTCTTCTCCCTTTTACTTCTACAGGAGGCAAACAGACAGATTAGCAGGGAGAAATCTAACTGGTTATGACTAAAGTCAACAAAGTAACGAAGTAATAAAGTCTGATTGGAGGAATGAAATGTGATAGACTTGCCGTTTTGGTGAAGGTGATCTTGCTTTCCTTCGGGGGCTTCTGGACCGATCTCTGCTCCTCCGTTTGTGGCCCCTGAGAAAAGAAAGAGAAATCATGAACAGATATAAATTTTAATTCAAGTTCTATCAGAGCAGGGTTGAGATTTTAAGGAACATGGTGACACCTTGTGTCGAATGCAGGAATTACAGACCGATTGAACTACTTGAAAGAATAAAAAACTATCAATAAATAGCAATAAACAGACCTGGACCGACTCCTGGCGTGCCTCCTGTCCCTGGAACGAGAGCGCCTCTTATGGCCGCTTCTTGAACTGTGGGAGTCGGCCCCCGGCCAGGACCTTTGTGACGGTCTGTTCCACCAGCAGGGAAGAAGAAAAACATTAGACTGAACATCAAACCAACAATGTTGAGTCAAAGAGAGGTCTATCCGAGCAACCTGTGTTTGGAGCGGGACCTCTTCCTACGGGACCTGGAGTGGGAACGGGAGCGCGTCCGGGAACGGGACCGGCGTGACCTTTGAGAGCGGCTGGAAGAGCGTTGCTTTATTTCCACTAAAGAAACAAGCGGGAACTTCAGCATCAGGAAGGGAAATATTTCAACAGATCGCATAAAACCCAACATCCTACCAGGTTCTATGGCAGCAGCAATGGTGGACTGGGCCTCCCTCACCCTCTTCATCACACTCTCCAGCTCCTTAGCAGCAGCCTGGGGTGTCAGCTCAGGCGGTTTTACGATGGCGTTATTGGAATGATTGACCCTGAAACCGATTTAACCATTCAACTCAGAAAACAGCAAACAGAATATAACCACATTTAACAGGAAATGTTCTAAGAACCTACTTCAGGGGTCTGTCTCCAAACATGACTCCGTTTAAAGTGAGGGCTCTGGCCACAGAATCCTGCTCTACAAACTCTACGAAGGCGAAGCGGGTCGGCTGAGTCTCGTCTCCGGCCATTCGAACAAACTTCACGTCTCCCACCTGCTTAAAGAACTCCAGCAGCTGCTCAGCAGTGGTGGTCTGAGCCGGAAAAAAATCAGATAAAAGTGTCATAGATCGCAAATTTACACAAATAAAATGATTTCCACACTAGGAATAATAATGAGAACCATAACTCTGTAGGCTATAAAAGTTTAAATGCTTTTTATTCTTTATTTGGATTATTAAAAAGAGAAAAGTTCAGAAACATAATAATTAGTCAGTAATCTGCATGTTTCAAAACCACAGTAATCCTCGGCTAATCTGTTCAGAGTGATGGTGCAGTTCAAGTTCTGCATGAGACTCAAAAGCTCCATACTAGAGCATAGTCTGTTTTAGATTAAAGTTAGATGTTTAAAACTTGTTTTCTCACCAAAACTTGTGTGAATCCAAAGGAAATTTAAATTCAAACAGTTGCGTAAATAAGTATTTGATACATTTAGATTTCTGGTGAGGAATGTCCCAATTGCAGCCTTTTCATTTCCAAAAAGATACTGCAGCTTTAAATGTTGACCGATACAGTGACTGATCCAATATGATATCAGAACGAGTCCTACTTTTTCTTGGGATTTTAGAAAACGATTGACCCCCCTAGTATAAACTGAGAGGTTACAAAAACTTTAAACATGAGCAGACTGTTTCTATCAGACCTATATCTGAGATTTTAGATGCAGATACTCAATTTTTGGCTGATATAGGATTGATTTCAGATATCAATATTCATATTCCTCCCTAATTATTATATTAATATATAAAATAGATATTTGATCGCTTAACAATCAGCATGAGTTTTTGCTGACGGACCCATTGAGGGTCAATTTCTGCCCCAATCTTCCCCTTTCAAAAGACCTGCCATTCTGTTGTGTATTTAGTGTGTTAAGAGCGATTGGGTCTGCCAAGTTAAATTCCAGCAGGTTGGATTGTTTTGGCCTAATATCCCGTCACATGTGGTGTGATAATCAGTAATTTTGCGGGTTGATGCAGAGCTTCTACCATTCAGAGGCGCTGAGCTGAGAACTGGCTGCATCCAAGCCTGGATTTCTGTTCCTGAAGAGGTGTTTGCAGAACACCATCAAAAGTATTTATATAAAAGGGTTTCACTCCATTTTACATGGAGAGGTAGAAGAATGGATTTTTTCAAGGAAAAGTGAGATTGCTCTGATCATTCCACTAAAATATTTATTTTCATAATGAATACCTAAGTTAACTTAAAATTTCAAAACTTGCCAGCAAAAAATATTGGATTTTATATTGTGTTCCTTGCAGTTCTGACTAAAGAAGGCTTTCTAATCACTTCCAGCCGCTATGAAAGACAGCAGGAAATCCCAGAGAGATTAGGATTCCCAGTGTTACCACCTGCCTCAGATGAAAATAACTGAACTGTTGAGTTTGGAGGATAAACGCTTTAGTGTATTGAGCAGAGGAGTGATGTGCTGCAATATTTGGGTCTGGGTCTTCCAGCATGAAAGTGACCTAGAATAGGCACAGCAAAAAAAAAAAGGTGGTCCCATAAGAAGCATCTCAGGTCCAAATCAAATAGGAAATCTCTGTGAGAAACAGAAAGTCAAACATCTAGAGATCTTATGGAAGAAAGGACAGAAATCCCAGCTGAAGTCTGCAAACCTGGTCCTGAGCTACAGAAAGTGTCGTAAAACAAGGTTTCTATTCAAAATACTAAGCTCTAATGTGTGTTTCAACTACTTAATTCATGCAGATATTGTGAGTTATTTTTTAAATAAACCCATGAATGGATTTTTTTTTTTTCACAGTTACAGTTACTTGCACATGAAAACTACAAACCTCTTTCTCCTTTGTGAAAATCTTGCACATCAGTTACTTGTTTTCCCCCTAATCTACATCACAGCTCTTATTTCCAATTTCTATAAAATGTTAAAATTTCATCCCTTTCCTATATAATCACGATGATAAACTTTGAACTCAATCACATAAAGCCCCAGTAACACTGTATTAAAATACACTTCATAGGGGTACCGTAACTTGACTTAAAAAAAGGGTCAAACTTGGAAGGTTTTAGATGTTTAGGTTTTTTTTTTTTTTATAAAAGCAGTCATGATGAAAATACGCTGGCTGTTTTATATTAATGCACTAAACTGCATTTTCAGTTTAGAGCATTTCTAACGTCAATCTTTGATTTACAAATTTAAAGTTTGTACAGCTTTATCCAACCTGCTCTTTTTTTAAAAAGAATTGCAACATATGTGAAGCCCTGTGCAGGCAGCCGAGTCAAACTTCTGCAACACAATGTTGAGCATAATGACGGGAAGCCAACAGTTTAGCCAGTTTGGGAATGTGATGCTAGTTATTCTTTAAAACTAACTTCCTCTTTATTCCAATGTTAAACCAAGGAATAACAAAAGGAGAAGAAAAAGTATCGTTTAATAGATTTATTTATGTAGATTTAGATCTGATCTTACCTGTGAGTTTAGGTTTCCAACATAAACCGTCCTCCTAATCTCGTCGATCTTAGATGGGTCCACATTCCCGACGAGGGGAGGCTGAGCGAGCACGGACGCCGTGGGATCGAGCCCCGCTGTGATCCGACTCACTAAAGGGAGGCTCAGCTGTGGGTGGAAATCATACAGACGGAGGTTAAATTCAATCTGGTCAGGTGGGGAAAGGGAAGGGGACGGTAACTCACGTTCTGAAGCGGAGCCGGAGCGGGAATCGGCAGCAACCCTCCGCCGGGAATCAGACTGGGTACCGGGGTGGCAGGTGCCAACAGAGACAGAGCCTTGGCCTCTTCTGGAATTTTCCCTGCAGGATAAAACGGATGTTAGGGAAGGCAGGGGAGGGCGCGCTTCTCTGTCTCCTCTATGTCTGCATATTTATCCCACTGTATTCTAGAGAGAAAAGGATCATCCAGCCTAAAATCCAGCTACGTGCTACTCATGGCAACACAAGCCCCAACATCCTTACTTGGATTTTTTAAATCAAACTAAAATCTTCTCACTTAATAAGCAAGATTAATAAAAAGTGCACAAGAATAGCTTTTTATGCAGAATCAATAAGGCCACTGATTTCAGCTGCTTTTCTTTCTTTTTTTTTTCTATAGGTCATTAAAGAAAAAAAGAAAAAAAAACACAATGCAGAGAATGAGTCAACACTTTGATGTATGGGTCACCTGTACTGGAAACATATTGGTCATGAACCATACGATATCAAGCATGGGCGCTTTTCCGTGGGGGGAGGGGGCGATCGTTTCGCAGTGTTGGAAAGGTGTGCAACACAAGACAACCCCAATGGCTGCATCACTAATAGCACACAGAACATCAGATACAGAAAAGAACAACAATTTTTAAGAACTTTGGAAATGCTGGAGATCAATAAAACAACCAATTAGGAATTGTGCTCATGCCACTGTGGATAAGAATACTCTCTCTTTGCAGAGGAGGAGAAGCAAACAGCCATAGTGCCTTGCAAAATTATTCACCACACCTCTACTAGTCTGCGTTTTTGTCACGTAGCAGCCACAGACTCAAAATAAAGTATCATTTGCATGAGGATTAGATAAGTTTTCTTTAGTCTGATACCCCTAAATAAAATTCAGCTGAAATAACTGCCTTCAGAAGTCATTTTATTAATTAATCTATTCCACTCTGTGAGAATAGATTCAAACAGTCCAGCTGCTACTTACAGGCCTCTGAGACCAAGAATAGAAGCAGACAGGTTATTTCTAAAGCTTGGAGGGATTTTAAAAAACAGGGTTTGGTTAGAAAACAAAAGAATCATACAGATCTTTGAAAAATGAATGTCACTGTAGCAGGGACAAAGAGCTTAAACAAAATAATCTACACGAGAATATGTGGCAAACTTTAAACCTAATTTTAAATCCAATCGGCCTGAGCTTAAGCCTGTTTTATAGATACGTTTTTAGTTTGCAGACATGCTCACATACACTACAAGAAACGCAACTGTAGCTACATTGCACATGCGCCGTTCTGTGTTGACGTTGCACGTCTTGCAGCAGTTACGAGACAAAATTAGCACAACTTGGTGAACAATATTGCAAGGCACTGTCTGGTTTTACCAAGAACTAAAGAAAATTTAGCAAAAAGGGGGGAGAAAGTAACCATATATGTAAAGCAAAACATGAACAATGTATTATTAAATGTATTACAAAGAGAGAATGATGCTACACTGATCAGTTCTGTGTCATTACTAAACATTCACATCAGTAATGTGAAGAAGAAGAAGTAAAGGTTGCCTTTTAGTTCATTGTTGAAAAGGTGAACAGATAGTTTAAAAGAAAGATATATATACATGTATGATTTATTACTGGGCTCACTTTTTTTTTCCCCACCAAGACTAGCCCTTCACTACGTCAACAGACGCAGGAGACAAGAGAACAAAAGAGTTAGTGATCCTCATAGCATCTTTTGTGTGGCACATTTCCCAGCGGTGTGCCGTAGCAACCTGGACTGAACTCAATCACACACAAGCTCCAGCTGTAGCGGAAAGAGAGAGGGGAGTGGGGGGGTTGGACAATAATAAAAAAAACAAACAAAAATAACAAATATAAACACAACCTGCAGTTTCTAGATAGAGACAGTAGAGAGTGGACAACATGGGATAGTATGAAAAGGAAACAAACCGAAAAAAATAAATAAAAATAAAATAAATGATAAAAAAAAAAAACAAAAAGAGACAAGGTGTCCATCTTGGAAGGTTCTGCGGGCTATTCTCCGGGTCACATCCCCCCCTTGAAGGCTGCGTTGGCCCGATCGGGGATAGTGGCTTGGAAAACAATGCCTGACTCAGGCTAGTGTAGTGTAACAGCTGGGCCACTCTAGTCATCTGATATGCACACATAATCACACAGAAAAAACATACAAAACCAAATTAATAAACTCAGTAGCCATCCAGCACCAAGTCACGTGGACACAATGCATCAGGTTAGAAGTGTAATCATTGTGAGTGTACACAGGGGTACCAAACAGGGGGAGGTGGGAGTTTAACCAAAAAGAGCACTAAAAAATAAAAAGGGAGGGAAAGAGAGTTTACTTTTAAGCAATGGATTTGGTCACATTTCTTTCAAATACACAATTTGCAATTCAACAAGAGCTGAAAGAATTAATCGATCATTTAAAAAATATTCAACTAATTTAGTATTTGATTAATCGTAACGAGTAAATACTCTAAAACATGCCTTTAGCTGAAAGAGCAACCCACTCAGAGCAGTAATTATACCTTGATTGTAAAAAAATAAACATTTTGCATTTAAGATGAAAAGCCTTTTTTTGCCCATCGATATAATTTATCTAGAACTTTTAGTTTCACCTGGCTTCAATTCTGTACAAAATCCTCTTTAAGGACGTCTTTTCTCTCCAATTAGTCAAAAAAATAATCAACGGATTAATTGATTTGCAAAATAATCATTAGTTCCCCTAAATTCCCCAAAGACCGTTGTTTAAGGTAAATTGGTTAACTTTTAACTCCTACCCCAGAGCCACGGACACCAAACAGAAACCTAAATGGGTTCTTGGAGACCTTATCTACAGCTCTACCTATAGCAGGGACTGACCAACAACGTACACTGCTCCAAAAAATAAAGGGAACACTCAAATAACACATCCTAGATCTGAATGAATGAAATATTATCCTTAAATATTTTGTTCTGTATAACGTTGAATGTGCTGACGACAAAAATCACCCAAAAATCATCAATGGAAATCAACTGTATTAACCAATGGAGGCCTGAATTTGGAGTCAGGTATCAAATTAAAGTGGAAAGACAGACTTCAATCGGATTCAACTTTGATGCAATGTCCTCAGTATTGTGTGCGGCCTCCATGTGCCTGTATGTCCCTGCAATGGTTGAAGATGCTCCTGATGAGTTGGTGGATGCTCTTCTGAGAGATCTTCTCCCAGACCTGGTCTAAAGATCCACCAACAGTCTGTGGTTCAACCTGACGTTGGTAGAGGGATCCAGACATGATGTCCCAGATGTTCTCAATCTGATTCAGGTCAGGGCAACGAGCGGGCCAGTTCCTTCAACTTGCAGGAACTGCTGACACACTCCAGCCACATGAGGTCTAGCATTGTCCTGCCAACTGCACCAGCATATGGTCTCACAGGACGTCTGAGGATCTCATCTCGGTACCTAATGGCAGTCATGCTACCTCAGTCGAGCACATGGAGGACTGGGCGGCCCTCCAAAGAAATGCCACCCCTCACCATTAATGACCCACTGCAAAATCTGTCATTCAGAAGGATGCTGCAGGCAGCAGGCTCCACAGTCTGTCCAGACTCATGTGCTCAGTCCTGGTTCTATCCTGGTATTCTCTGGCAAACACCAAGCATCCTGCACAGTGATGGGCTGTGAGCACAACCCCTATCTGTGAACGTTGGGTTCTCATACCATCCTCATGGAGTCTGTTTCTAACTTTAGACCAATGCAGATTTTTGGCCTGCTGGATGTCGATTTAAAACACTCCTATATTGAGTATGTCCTAACTGCCAATGACTTCTACCTGTTGTCTAATCCATTTGCACAACGGCATTTAAAAATGATTATTAATCAGTGTTGCTTCCTAAGTGGACAGTTTGATTTCAGAGAAGTTTGATTTGATTGAAGTTATATTGTGTTGCTTGCATATTCCCTTTATTTTTTTGAGCAGTGTACATTAAATCCATTATAGGCATGGGCCATTTTTCTACCATTAAGTCATAAACAAAATATTAAAACCTAGTTCCTGTCAAGCTGTTCCTATGGTTTAAAGTCCCAAAAACTATCAATGGATCATTCTCTTGGGTAAAAACGAAACAAAAATCAGACAATTTTGCATGCATCACCTCCAATCTTATAGGTTTATAGTTTTTCTATAAAATCATTAATGAACAAAGTGGCCTTTATGATGCTAAGATTGTTAAACTTCAGATTAGATTTTCTAAAACAGTTCCTAAAAAGGATTTCCTATAAAATATTAAACTGAAGTAAATTCTGCTGGATTGGGATCCAATGTCTCTGTAAACGAATCCACAGCAGATTCCCTCCTGAGTTTTGGGCCAAAATGAATGAGAAAAATTCACTTTTTTAGTGTTACATCTCTATTTTATATCTTCATCTCTATTTTTGAGATCAGCAGCTAATGTGAGCAGATTTATCTTCGCCAAAGAGCACAACCCCTCCCCTACCTATTGCTGCACTCCTAAACAGCTAGCAAACAGAATGCTGCTACAGTTATATATATATATATATATATATATATATATATATATATATATATATATATATATATATATATGCCCATCATGCCTGCTGTTTCCTAAAGAGAAGAACCCCCTCAATGATAAACAAAACTATAAACTCCAGAGAAGACGTCCACTCTTATTTATTCAGATTTTTATTGTAATATAAGCTTGAAACAATCAGCTGTTACTCACCTTCTGCGCAGGGCACCACTATCAAAGCTCTGTCTATAAAAACAGTGTTGGTGAGATGCTGCGCCACCCCAACACTGGAGGGGTCTCGGTACTTTATATAACACACTTTGGAGGAGAATGACAAGGTGGTGTTGCTGTGTGGAGGAATACGGGGAAAAATGGATAAAGTTAGTAATAAAATAACGTTAAGGACAGCGACAATTTGTGGTTTCCTAACAAGGCCGCGTCTCCGCGGCGTTTCCTAGCTAGCTGAGACCCAATGAAAGCAGCTCTTACTCGGGGGGATAGAGACGAAGCTCCTCGATGTCTCCCAGGAAGCCGAACAGAGTGCGCATCTGCTCGCTGCTCACAGCCGACGACAAGTTGGTGACCTGAACGACTGCTGTCCCCGGTATACCGCTCATTTTGCAAAAAAAAAAAAAAATATATATATATAAAACGTTTCGTGTTATATATTTTCAAACTAAAGTGTGTACTGTATTATTATTTTTCAGTTATCCTTCTCGGCGCCAGAGGGCGGTGCGGCTGATTTCTTCTTCTTCGGTTTTATGGCAGTTGGCAAACTAGTTAAAAGTGCATTACCGCCACCAACTGGTTAGGAATGCAACAAGGAAACAGGAAACAAGATTCAACCCCAGAAATGAATAGATAAAAAAATATTTCCGAACTGTTTAACTTAACCCAACATAAATCATAATTTCTAATTTATCTTTACGTTACTTTACGTCACTCTGCCAGTTTCTGATGGTGCTTTTTGGTTTTCCCATCATGCTTTCAACTATTTCCCATTTTAAATCTAACTTCAAGATACTTTTCTGCAGCTTTAAATGTCATTTTGTTTTTTTCGGTTTTCCTTGTCTGTGCACTATAACTGATCACTTCTACCATGAAAATAACATTTTTTATTTATTTTTTTATACAAAGATTGCGGCTGATTTTGCTGCTCTTCTTGTTTTTAACAGGGTCTGGGAGTGAGATTTGAATACTACAGCTCCCCCTAAAGGAAAAACTAATACACTACAGCCAAAATTTTGCCTGTTTCTGCAAAGGCATAGGAAATACCAGTCCTACAGTAAAAGTTGACAACCAAGATTTTAAATGTACTTTTCAAAGCCAGTCACTAACATTAAGCAATTAAATAATTCATTTTTTATTAAAAGAACTACAAGAGCCCATGAGGTCGACCAACACTTCAACAATTTAACACACACAGACACTTATGACTGCAATATAATTAATATAAATAATAAAGTTCCAAGATTACATTCCACAGAATTGAAGTGACTAGACACTATCAGTACTAGATAAATACAATTGAAACGAGATAACAAAGTGTTTGTATTAAAATTATACAGTGAGGAAAATAAGTATTTGAACTCCCTGCTTTTTTTTTTTTTTTTTTTTTGCAAGTTCTCCCACTTAGAAATCATGGAGGTCTGAAATTGTCATCATAGATGCATGTCCACTGTGAGAGACGTAATCTAAAAACAAAATCCAGAAATCCCCAATGTTTGATGCAACTGAAAATAAGTATTTGAACACACTGCTTTTTTTTTTGTGCAAGTTCTCCCACTTAGAAATCGTGGAGGTCTGAAATTGTCATCATAGGTGCATGTCCACTGTGAGAGACATAATCTAAAAACAAAATCAAGAAATTCCCAATTTGTGATGCAACTGAAAATAAGTATTTGAACACTTATCAGATAGATTTCTGACCCTCAACGACCTGTAAGTGTGCCTGTTCTGTCCACCTCATGTCCATTTATTATCCTACATTAGATTCACTCCTTTGAGGTTGTTAACTGCATAAAGACACCTGTCCAGAATCCAAGTACTAACATGGCAAAGACCAAAGAGTTGTCCAAAGACACTAGAGACAAATGTACACCTCCCCAAGGCTGGAAAGGGCTACAGCGAAATTGCCAAGCAGCTGGGTGAAAAAAAAGGTTCACTGTTTGTCATTAGAAAATGGAAGAAGCTAAACATGACTCATTCTCCCATGTATTGCAAGATTTTGGGGAACAACCTCCTTCCCTCAGTTAGAGCATTGTAGATGGGTGGTGGCTGGGTCTTCCAACATAACAATGACCCAAAGCACACCGCCAGGATAACCAAGGAGTGTCCCACACATCCTGAACATAAACCGTTTAGACTCAGTGCTAAAGAGCTTCATTTACAGAAACCAGCCGCCACAGAATTTTTTTTTCTTTCCCTCCCAGGCTGATAGCAATATTATTTGCACAAATCCCAAAAAAATCTTCATATTTCTGTAGAAACATTTAAATATTAACAAGAAAAGTCTTACGGCGATCATTTTCAGTTAAGTTATACCAAAATGTCTTCATTAAACTCCACGTTGTTTGCACCTTCCTGGTGATAAAAGCACATTTTGAAAGACAGAAT